CGGGATAGGGCGAGATTGCCATTGACACGGCCAAAGTCGACGAAACCACCAGCAGCGCTGATTCTTGCTTTTTCACTACTTGAATGTTAAGAAAAGAACCAAGAAGATATTGGCCGTAAATCCACAAGGGAGCAACACACCTTCATTCTGAGGCTTATGGTCAAAGGAAGAGTGGCTTCGCACGTCCTTTCACACCCAAAACAGACCGGGAGTCACCAGCATTGGCCTGCAAGCATGTTAGTGGTTAGCCCTTGTTGTCAATGACAGAGGTGGCAGGCGATCAGGAGAGCACGTACAACTCTGATTTTATCGTTTGAGACAATAGCGACAGCCGCGGTACAGCCAGAGACTTCTTCTTCGTGTTTGGGGTCTAAGAAGCCAGTCACACCTAGTCAGCTCAAGTTTGCATATGCGCATGGACAATGGGGCTCACCCTCCAGAACAGCTCGGTCGGTTGCCAGAAACCCGTCTTTCAGGGCTTGTTCTATGTCACCGCGAGCAAACGCCTCCTGCGCTGCAACAATCCTTGACACGTTCTGCCCTGCATACAAAGCCATCTGCTCCCCGCCATGCCCGTCGAAGACGCCAAAGAAAGCCATACGTTTGCTGGGGTTCGTTGCATGATTGTCTTTGTTTAGATATGCGCCTTGAAGGTCAAGCACAGCAGAATGGGCATCCTCCATGCTGACGCGCCATCCCTGCATGGCAGAGAGGCCGTAGATCACGCACTCGTCACATCCTTCCTCGGAGATCTGTCAAGAAGCCAACGCGTCAGTGATGTTCCATATCATTATCATCATCAACAACAAATGCCATGGGCTGTAGTTGAAACAAGCAGAGGAGAACAACCAAAACCGGCCACAGTGCAAAGCCGCACATCAGCCCCGCTTAGTCGTCCCTCTGAAGCCGAAGGACACAACAAGCGACTTTCTTTCAGTTGTTCTTGTAACGACGGGCAGACAGAACGCAGCTTACCTTCTCAACCACCGGTTCACTTAAAGTCTGTCCCATGCTTCAGGTGTTGGTGAGTTCAGGCTGGATTTGTTTGTGGTGTGGGTTGCAGGTGTCGGCTTGCAAACTCGATTGAGGGGGAGAACAACACAACGGAGAGGAGAGTGATTGAGCGGGCGGGAGACGCGATCGGATGCAGAAGCAAGAGTTGCGTGAGGACGCGGCGGATGTGTTGTTCTGGCAGAGTTTTGAAGCAGAGGTGGTGTCGGTGGATGGGGGCAGAGGCAGAGTGTGAGATGGAAGATCCAAAGTGGGCTGTTCGGCGGGAGCAGCCTGGGGCGATCCAGGCGGCTACGAGAGTGGTGCCGGGACTGCTGCTGGGCCCGTCTGCTGCTGCTTCCAGGGACTAAACGACTTCGCTCCTTGAATTGTGCTTTGGACGGTCAAAGGCCAGGGGTGTTGGAGATGGAGGTCGCGTGTTGGAAGTTCGATGCGAGAAATGACGAAAAAAGCTTCACGCAAAGATCTTACGGCCTGCCGTGGGAGTTTAGTTTGGACGCCGCCATGCCCATGACCACCGCAAAAAGCCTAATTTATGCTCCCTAGACAGACCCGAGCAGCGATAGCGATACTCTTCATCTACGACGGACTACGCGCTGCTGGTGAAGTGCGAGATCCAGGCGTCGCAACCACTGCGCTGCTGCACCACGGCTCGTGGCCCTCTGGTTTCTTCACACCACGCCATGCAAAACAAGCTGGAGACTCGAGATTAAGCTCAGATCGCGTTTGGGGTAATGACTGTGACTTGTCCCCATCGCTGGCAGTGGATCTGGACACACCCGATGTCCTGCACACGGTTACATAGTTACATATCAAAAGCCAGACTGAGGAGGGAGCGCCGTCGTCGAAACCGTGCCTGTTGAAAAACGCCTTGCCTTGACGCAAAACAAAACGCATGAGACTAGCCTTGACAGCCCTCTTCCCCGCTGCAAGTCTGCTCGCTTTGGCCCAATGATGATCGCGTCCCCCAAGCGGCCAGTTGCACGGCGCTCCTGAGCTTGACAGGCTGCAATCTGGATCATCCTCTGCGCCACGGGACCAGGTGAAAATTTTTCATCCCCAAGGGCGCTAACTAACTTCACTAAACCGGACACTCTCGCCCCTCTACGTCCCGATACACACCAAGGTACACATATCCAACCTGGAGTTGGTCAAGGCTTCGGATCCCTAACAGTTTATTCACAGGGCTTAACAAACCTTGTTTCGGCATTTTAGACTCAATTTCCGGCTTTGAGCACACTGTGGCGACTCTAACCAACCGCTGTTTCGTCAACCTGGCAGGGGTTGGCTTGATATCAATAACCAAGGAATTGGTGTTGGAGGCACCGAATTGGGCTCAATCCAACTGCACTGAGCTTGTCAATCTATTCCTGCAGCTCATGGAGCTACTTTGGTCGGTTCCTACCATTATTTATGTTACAATATTGCGTTTACCTGATTGTCCCGTGAGACAAGTTGCGTCGGTGATCCTTACTACCAAAGGCGTCTAGGGCCATCTTGGCCTATTCCAGAGAGGAATTCGCAACAATCACTTCTACCTACTCTAGAAGTGCTTATTTACCCTTTCATTCTCTCAGTGCCTAATGCCGTTGAGGCTTGCGGACTGTGTTGGCACTCTTCTCTACCGATGAGATAAAATTCATTTCAATTTCATTTCAGACAGCTCTGCAGTCGGGTAACTAAACTTAATTCTTCAGATACTACTTGAAGAGTTCATCTAGAGGAGTAGATGACGAGAACCATACAAAACCTTTACCACAAGGCAATCTCCAGAGATAATGTATGGAAGGGTACAAACTATATTAGCTACGTACGTTTCTCGAACGCGATTGTTTCAGGACAATGGCGTCGTTTATATCATCATCGACGAGTAGTTAAACTTTCTTCCCCGTATGATGGAGCCCTCCGTTGAAAGTGCCTCCTGTGTCCTCCTGCTTTGCTTCCTGGATGCTAAATTCCAGACATGGGCAATTGTTTGTATGTATGTGGATGTATGTGCACACATACATATTTTTATCACCGCAGTGGCTGGCTGAGGCACAAACCTGACAGGAGTTGAAGTTGATATACGCTTTGCCATTGGCATCCTAACCCCTCGCGCTATTCCTACTCACCATGAATCGCAGTTAAAGTGGCAGCAAGCTGCTGGTCAGACCCAAACCTCCCGTTCCCAACCCTAAGACTCTCAAGTATTGCATTGATAGCCTCAATTCTGCAAAGCTTCTTTGCAGCAATGCTTCCATTCTGACTGAGTTGGTTGAGTATCTGAGCTGCTGCCTCGAATTCATCCCCGTTCTCTTGAGAATCGGAGTTTGGAGCAGGCTAGACACGGCGATGATAATCGAGGCAGAGAACAGATGTTGAGTATATATATAATCAAACGTGACGGACGATCCGATTATCCAAGCTCCAGCGTCATCTTGATGCCAGTCCTTCCATTTCCATAGTAATTTTCAACCTTCTCCTTCTCCGCAAATCCACAGCGTGCATATAGTCTCCGCGCAGCCGTCCTATTCTCGTCAACCCACAAACTGCACACTCTGGCAGCCCTCCCGCCCGCAATCTTTGCTCAACATATGCCATCATTTGTGCGCCCACACCGCACCCGCGATGCGGTTCCGCGACACATAATTTATGCAGAAGCGCAGTGCCCTTCATGCGAACGTAGACCGCATAGGCGATCACGTTGGTTGTATTTTCAGTCAGAGTAGCATCCTTATTAGCCCGGGATTTTGGCCCTGTTGGCGCCGGACGGGATATCTCTGCAGGCTTTGCGTATATCACTCTGGTATTAGGCCTTTTCTTCCACAATTCCACAGGGAATTCGAATGCTTCAGACGGCGGGAATGTGCGCTTTTCGAGGCGCGTGATACGCTCAATGATGGCGGTGGCGTCCTTTTGGGGGAGTGTGTGGATATCGCCTATGACGAGCTGCGGAGGCACTGTTTGTTGTGTCATTAGACAAGGCTTTGTACGGTTCAATTGAGTTCAATCTTTGAGGCGGTGAATCGTGATTGAGAGTTCGAGGGGAAGTTTTGTGTTGTGGAAGTTTCTCAGCTGGTCGTGATCTTCAGGAACGTTTGCTGGACGGTGGGTCGCGTCTCGCTTCATTCCTCATCAACACGCAATCGCACTCCAAAAGCTCAGCCCATTCGTTTTGGAGTCTAAAGATACCCGTATTTCAGTCCTACATTTCCACAAAGGACTGCATGTGTTCCTGGATCTCCAATGCCGTCACAACAGGACGAAAAGCGCCAAGCAGCCCGGGAGGTCATCGACATTCTGCATGAGATATCTACTCTCCTGGTACGTCAAGATGTATTGATATTTCCCATGAATAAGTCGGTTATGCTGATGGACAAAACAATCAAGAATACGCATTTGGACCGCACCGAGTTATCTCTATGTGTCTCTCTGATCGAAAATGGTGTCAATCCTGAGGCACTGGCCGTGAGTCTCCCCTGGGCCTGGTTAAATGCCGAAAACCCTATTAGGCCGTGCTTTCTCTTGATGCGATCTGTTCGAGATAATGATGGAAAAGAATAAATGTGAACTAATCTGGTATTTGTTCCGGTAACAGACGGTGATCAAGGAGCTTCGAAAGGAGTCCAACCGACACCAAGTAGAGGGGAACGCTTGAGCTTTACCGGAGTGATTCGACTTCTATCTTTACAGAATGGCGTTAGTGGAGTTCCGGCGGCTATCTATTACGTTGGATGGGTTCTTACGATCTATGGATGTATGATGTTGTGTTAAGATTCTTATCCCAAGCTGGATTTATTCATTGCAACCAGTGTTATTATCATACAACTGATGAATGAACATGCACGTATATAATCAAGCAAACTGAAACTGACTTTGCGCTTGCTGGGACGTGAAAACAAAGCCCACCATAGTTAAATTCCAACTCAAATATATAAGCGTGATCGGTGGTGTCAAAAGACTACGAACTTTCCGGTGCCTTATCAGATTTCTTATCGGTTCCGCTGGGCCCTATGTCGCTCTCCGTAGCTTCTGTAGTAGCTTTGGTTGCCTTCTCAGCATCATCTGGCTTTGCATCCGACTTTTTCACCTCCTTCTCATCGTCCGTATCTCCAAGGCTGAAAGGATCATGGTCTGCGACAGGAGATGGTTCCACCGCTGCTAAAGGTTGCCATTTGCTTGCTTTCCCCAATGACTGAGCACTACGACTTTGTGTGCCTTGGCGGGAGGAGTAAGGCCCGGTGATTTCCTCAGGTGGGCCTTCTTGAAACGAAACCTTCCGGCGGTCTGGAGAGGGAGACTTGGGTTTGAACAAATCCGGATTTGCGGTAGGGCGAGGTGGACGGTTCGGGAGGGTAGCTACTTCACTTGTCAGTTTAGACACCTCAAATGTAGGCTGCCGGCCTGTTTTACCCTCATTATCTCTTAATTCTAATGTCGCAAAATCGTCACTCAAAACTTGAGGATCCGCGTCATATCGCTCGCGGTCGGCACTGCGGCGAGCCTCGCCACTTCTTCTAGGTCGGTAGCTTTGTGTCTCTGGAAATCCCTGGCCATATTGCTGGCCCTGCTGGCCCTGCTGGGTTTGTTGGTAGTACTCGTCTTCCGATTCTTCCCCGTCGAGCTTTTTCTTTAAATTTTGAACCCAGTTATTGACTCTTGTTTGAGTTTCCAGGAAGCCTTTGCGGAGGTTCTCTTTTATTATTGGAAGATCGTCTTAAAAGTTTGCGTTAGCCTCCATATCTGCAATCAATGCGCAGCCCATTCGTTTCATACCATCGATAAAGCTGTGTTCTCGATCGTCGTATAATTCATTCGGCTTTAAACCAGTTTCTTTGCGTCGTTGTGGCAAGTGCGGTTCGTGGTCCCCGGAAGACTGAGGATATCTGCGAGTCTGCTCTGCATTGTTATAATGCTCCGCAAGCTGACGAGCGTATATCTCATCTTGTTCAAGCTGTATTTGGGTGGTCGATGTCGTTGAAGGACGAGGTGGTTTCATAGGAGGAAGTTCAACTTGTGCATCCGGATCGGACATTCCTGTAGATTCTGAAATGAGTCCACTGGCAGAGCGAACCAAAAGGGCGGGCGGTGCGCACCAAGCAAGGCATGGAAAGCTCTGTCGACGTTACCACCGCTCGCAACCACAACAGCTCTCACTACAGTCGCTTCAATACCCGGAAACGCTTCTTTCAGCGTGTTCTCGGCCTCTTGCAAGGGGCTGAGCGGTCGCGGGGGTTTTGGTGGAGGGGCACCACCGGTTGGAGTTCTAGAGGCCGGTGCTGTCGACGTTACCCCAGTTTCCATAGGCTCGTCGTCAAAGTCAAGTGGACGAGCTGTGGTCGGTGACTCCGGTTTGTCAGTGTTCTTTGAAAGACGGGTCAGCACAGATTCGGCAGCAGGCAGCATTCAACACGAACTCCTCGTACCTTGGCCCCGTCAGCCATCGTCGTAAATCGACTTCAAAGAAAAGTGCCGAAGAATAAAAAAAAAGGTCAAATTCCTAGTAAATGCGCCGATTCCTCTCAACTGCGACAACAATTCAGAGGTCTTTGCTTGACGACTGATCTGGTGGTGCTGGCGGTGTTTGCAATACGAAGTTTCCTGTGGCTCAAACTCGAGTGACGCCATTCTGAGGCTGGGGTAGCCATAGTCTATTAATAAGCGATTAGAGCTGGCGGGGAATAGTTTTCCCGTAATGTTTATGTAATATTTCACCCCGTCGCTCATTGGCGTCATTTTGATAGCTTCATTGAAGATTGATATTTAAATTTACTACGGAGTATATGTGTGGTTGCTGAGTGTTGTCGGCCATGGCCGATTCAATATGAATATCCAACGGTATACCCTATTGGACTGGCCCGCGAGGATTTCAAGCTGCTCAGATGGCCGCCGATTCTGACCTTTCGGCGGGCTTCGTTGCGTCGCGGTATAAACCTCCAGCACTTCTGCCTATTGCACGGCATCGCAAAAGCTTGCTCTATGTGGTGGAAAACTACCCTGTAACGATAGTAGTGGGCCAAACCGGTAGCGGAAAGTCTACCCAATTGCCCCAGTTTCTTGATCAAGCAGGATGGTGCGCAGATGGGAAGCAGATTGCGGTCACTCAGGTGCGTTCGTTGCCGAGTTATTTTAACCGCTCTCGGGATACCTCTTTTGGCCTTTCCGTGTGAGTCGTTTGCTAATATGTATTTAGCCTCGCAGAGTGGCTGCAACGACGGTTGCAGCGCGAGTTGCGGAAGAAATGAGGTGTAACGTGGGCCAGGAAGTTGGATATTCAATTCGATTCGAGGACGTAACGTCTGCCGCAACTCGGGTTAAATTCTTGACGGATGGCCTTCTGCTGCGGGAAGCTCTTGTGGACCCGTTGCTATCTCGTTACTCTGTGATCATGGTTGACGAAGCCCATGAGCGCTCCCTGAGCACTGACATTCTTCTAGGAGTGCTCAAAAAAGTGATGAAAAAAAGGCCGGAATTACGGATTATTGTCAGCAGTGCGACTCTCCAGGCAAAGGAATTCCTACAGTTCTTCGCAGGAGACCAGGTTGATTCAGGGAATAGCAGCGATATGGGTGGTAAGGTGGGAAGGATAGTTAGTCTTGAAGGAAGAATGTATCCTGTTGATAGCCTCTTTCTGGAAAACCCGACAGAAGACTATGTTGAGAGGGCTGTCAAGACAGTGTTCGACATTCACGCAGAGGAGACTTCCGGGGACATTTTATTATTTCTGACTGGCAGAGAGGAAATTGACCTTGCAATCCAGAAGATCTCGGAGTATGCGGCTACTTTGCCTCCTCACTCCCAGGGATTACAGCCGCTACCATTATATGCTGGGCTGACTACAGAACAACAGCTTTATGTTTTTGAGCCTGCTCCTGAGAACACCCGCAAAGTTATCGTTTCCACCAATATTGCTGAAGCATCCGTGACCATTGAAGGGATTGTTTACGTTATTGATTGTGGGTATGCGAAGCTTCGCGCCTACGACCCGAATACTGGAATCGACACTCTCACGGCAGTGCCCATTTCAAAAGCATCTGCAACTCAGCGGGCCGGCCGTGCGGGTAGAACAAAACCAGGAAAGTGCTTTCGTCTGTATACCGAGCAATCATACGAATCTCTGCCAGAAACATCTGTTCCCGAAATCCAGAGGTCGAATCTTGCCCCTGTTATTCTTCAGTTGAAAGCTTTGGGAATCGATAACATTGTTCGATTCGACTTCTTTAGCGCACCCCCAGCGGAGCTAGTTATTCGAGCACTTGAGCTACTTTACTCGTTGGGAGCTCTGGACGACTATGCAAAATTAACAAAGCCACTGGGAATGCGCATGGCGGAACTCTCAGTAGAGCCTATGATGTCGAAGGTTCTATTGAACGCCTCGTCATTTGGATGCCTCAGTGAGATGCTATCTATTGCGGCTATGACAAGCCTTCAAGGCTCCGTGTGGTATCAACAAGATGATGAAAAGAAGGCGTTGGAGTCTGCCCGGAGGAAATTTGCTGCCGAAGAAGGGGATCACTTAACATATCTGAACGTGTATCAAGCGTTCGTTACGAAAGGCAAAAAAGATTCGAGGTGGTGCAGGGAGAATTCATTGAACTATAAGTCAATGCTCAAAGCTGTCAGTAATCGTGCGCAACTAAAGAGATATTTGGAACGGTTCGGCATCGAAGTCAACGAAACGCTCTCGTCGCATCGGTCTCAGGCATCTACCACTGCCGAACAGATTCAACGATGTTTGACCACCGGGTACTTTGCCCATGCCGCGAGAATGCAACCCGATGGCACTTTCAGAACCATAAGTGGAGGAATCACACTTCATGCGCATCCAAGTTCACTGATGTTTGTAAGCGATGTGCAAGAAACACTATATCCTATAGTTATTGGTACTAACCATCGGTGAATAGAATCGAAAAGCGGACTGGGTGATTTTCCATGAGATCTTGCAGACAGCCAGCAAGACGTTTATTCGGGATGTTACAAAAGTCGAGAAGTCATGGCTTCTGGAATATGCCTCAGACTATTATCGAGTGAAAGAATAAGCTGGCTTAAATGCTCGGATGGACTGAGGAATAGACTTAACAAACTTGTTGCATTTTCTTACGGTTGTAAGCTGATGCCGATTGCGTCGCCTAAACAGCTAGTTCACGCAATATAAACAAGAGAATGAAGTCAAGGCAACACAATATACTTAATTGGTTTATCCACAAGAAGCTCGAATTTCTTAGCAGACCTTCCTTGTTGAGATCGCTCATTTACTTCCCATCATTGTTGCAACCAACCCACACACTCCCACTCTTGTTATTCACGAGAAATCACAGCTTTAGAAGGGATGTCGCATCATCACCATCATCATGACGGTCACGACGGCCACAATCACGGTCATGACCATGATCACGACCATAACGATGACCTGACGCCCACATTCCAGTCGCTTTTATACAAACAGATCGATTTCGATGGGATCGTAACCCTCAACGAATCCGAGCACAAAGCCGGCGCTGCCATCGTCAAGAAGACATGGGCCCAGCGCCTAGATGAAAGCCCAGAGTTGGAGAGCGATGTGGATGAGCAATTGTTGATGTACATTCCGTACGTTCCACTGTGTCTCTTTGGCTATTGCGACTCAGCTCTACCCCGCGATCTTTACCCCTCCATCGATATCTCAGTACAACAGCGCGAATCTGCGCAGATTTTGATGCAAGAGGCCCAGGGTTAACTAATTCGATATCAATCTAGATTTACCGGCCAAGTCAAACTCCACGCCCTCCTGTTCTACGCTGCGCCCACTCCTTCCGCTCCGAAAACCATTAAGCTCTTCCGCAACCGCCCCGATCTTGACTTTTCCACCGCCAGCGACCTTCAGGCTACCCAAACCCTCACTGTTCCTCAGACCCTCACCGGATCGGATGCTGACGTCCTCGAGATTCCATTAAATCGGGCCCAGTGGAACACCACGACTTCCGTCACATTATTTTTCGAAGACAACTGGAGCGACGGGGACGAGGAAGTGACCAAGGTGGGATATATTTGGTTTCAAGGGGCATTTCATGGCCCTCAATATTGTAACCCGTTACGGTGCTGTATGAAGCTGCAGCGAACCCGAAGGACCATGTCATCATTCAAGGCGTGGGCGAAGGGGTTGGAAGGACAATCGGACAGTAGGAGGGTAGTTGATATCTGCTGATAATATTGATTAAAGGCTGGCTTTAAGAACAGGAAACTTCTATATCCCACGGCAAGTTTATGATGGACAGGCGTCAAGGAACTCATCCTTTGTATGATAGCGGAGCTTTCAACGTGTCATCGCATACCTTTTCCGCTGAGCGAGATCTCTAGCGAAAACAATTACAATTGATCCAATTAAAACGACAATATATGATAAGTATATTTCCATAGGAATGTAGTAGATGCGGACCAGAGTCATCAAAGAACTCGTTCTTTAAATGGCAACGCATATAAGATGTATCGCGACGTATGGATGTCGCGCAAAACCACGACCAATGGTAACAGTGAGATCATGACATCAAGCTGCCATAGGAACTGCACTCTCCGCTTGTGCTCTTGCCCTTTCACGGGCACGCTGCGTAGCCCTAGTTGCGGGAGTCCGTGCTCCCTCTTCTGGCAGTGCTGATGTGGGAACATCTGGGAGCTTCGCGCTGCCGCCGACTTCACGCTGAAGCTCCTCTAATTCGTCTTCTACCTCGTCTTCATCCTGATTCGACATTTGCCCACTAAGCATGAGGGTTATTTCCTAAAGAATATTAGTACCTAATTGGGAACAGGGGAAATTGGGCCTAAAAGCAACCAACCTCCTGATATGCTCTAGCCTCCTCGCTCTCGCCCATCATCTTTTCTACTGCCTCAAGACCTCCCATTTCTTTATGGATAGCTTGCAGCACTTTGGTGCCCTGGTTCAATCCAAACAAAACATCTTTTTGGACCAGCGCGAACTCCACATTCCCCGTCAGCTTCTCAAGCTGGTCGAGCTGTGCATCCGTTTTGGCAAGTAACGACTCTTGATATTTCTTTCGTCGTAGAGCTAGAAGTGCGCGCGGCCGATCACCGCGAGCGAGACATTCCCGGGCGATACTGGTTTCGCGGTCTGTTAGGACCGTTATGCGCTTCTGGTATTGTTGAAGTTTATCTCGCTGGATTTTTAGATCGAGAATCGCCCTGATACGGAATCAAAGTAAGCATTAAGGGGAATGCTTGTCTCTTAGAGAAGGGCGATAAAGGGGTTCAAAGTGGTCTGGCTGGGGCGCAAGTGTTGATGCAATTAGCGATTGCACATACCTGTCTTGCGCAGATATTTTTTGCGAGCTAGAAGCGTTTCCCATTTTACTAGCATCTCTAGCAGTTCAAACGTGCATCTTCCAGTTCAAGGAGCTGCTTTCGAGGCTCGCAGTGAATCGATGACCAACTCATCAGACTGTATTGACATTACGGTAGTTGCTGCTTATCGATAACGACACTGATGACATAATCGGTAACTTTGGAACGCGGCATGAAGATAATCCGGCATCAATACAAAGTTACCGAGCATCGATACCCGAAAATTACGACGAAATATCAATCGAAGAGAGAGTCACGGCGGAAGAGGGAAGCGGGCGCTTGCTCTGAGTACAAAATGCCACCTAGGGGCCTCGGAGGCAGACACAGTCTTGGGCATGGTATCGACAAAGAAGTGAGTCCATTGGTGAGAACTAAGGCCCGGAGATTTAACGGCTGTCACAGGTCTACCAAATAATCCGCAAGCTCGTCGATGAACAGCAATCCGAGGGGTCCGATCTACGACTTAGTGTACCTACAATTTACGATCAGATTAAGAGATCCAATTCCAGTTTGAATCGCAGACCGAAAAAGTTGCTGGAAGACAGTATTGAGCGGGTTTTGGACGTTGTGAAGGCCGATGCTGCCGACGATGACGAATCTGAATCGTTGGACGGAGACTTTGAAGGATTGGTGGAAAAGCAACAGCTTCCGGTATGCCAGTCGGATCCTTTTTGAGAATGTTGCATCCGCTGATGTTTTTTGTAGGCCCTGAATGGCGTGAACAAGAGCATCGTGGGAATGTGGAGCAGCCAGTCAAAACCGATTCCAACGCCAAAAAAGCCGGATGGCGCCGCTGAATCCTCTTCATCAATGCCTGTGACTGCGAGTAAAAGACGCCAAGCCGGTGGGGAGTCAATATCAAAACGACGCAAGGCGGAAAGCTCTATTGACCGGTCTCCGCCCACTCATGTGAGTCTCGCAGATTTGGGCGGTGTGGACGATGTGATTCAGGACCTGGAGGACCTGATAGTGCTGCCGATGACTAGGCCACAGGTGTATTCATCATCCAAAGTGCAGCCTCCCCGGGGTGTCCTGCTCCATGGGCCTCCAGGCTGTGGAAAGACATTGATTGCCAATGCATTTGCAGCGGAATTGGGTGTCCCATTTATTTCTATATCTGCTCCATCGATTGTATCCGGAATGTCCGGCGAGTCAGAGAAGGCCCTTCGGGAGCACTTTGATGAAGCGAAAAGGGCAGCCCCCTGTCTTGTCTTCATCGACGAAATTGACGCCATTACTCCTAAGCGAGAAAGTGCGCAGCGGGAGATGGAAAAGAGAATTGTTGCGCAGCTACTCACTTGTATGGACGATTTGGCTTTAGAAAAGACAGATGGGAAGCCAGTGATTGTGTTAGCGGCAACAAATCGTCCAGATAGCCTTGATCCGGCTTTGAGGAGAGGCGGCCGCTTTGATAAGGAGATTAACCTTAGTGTTCCCAGTGAGCCTGTCAGAGAACAGATCCTACGCACATTAACAAGAAATATGAACCTTGCCAATGATCTGGATTTCGCGCTGCTTGCCAAAAGAACCCCTGGATTTGTTGGCGCTGATTTGAATGATCTGGTGTCTACAGCGGGAACGGCTGCTATCAAAAGGTATCTGGAACACCTAAAGGCATTAGGGGATGAAGAGATGGACATCGAAGAGCCTCATAATAACATAAGTCCGAAAATCTTGGAGCTGCGTCGTCTAATCAAGCGTGCCCGGGAGACACCTCCGGACACGGAGTCCCAAACCGTGCACGTCTCTAATGAGGACTTCTTTGCAGCACTCCCCAAAATCCAGCCTTCCTCAAAGCGTGAAGGTTTTGCTACGATACCCGATACCACTTGGGCTGACGTGGGCGCACTTGGCGGCGTGCGAGAGGAACTTGTCACCGCGATCGTGGACCCTATCCGAACGCCTGAAATTTATGCTCAGGTCGGGATATCAGCACCCACTGGAGTTTTGCTCTGGGGTCCTCCCGGCTGCGGTAAGACACTACTGGCAAAAGCCGTCGCGAATGAATCTCGTGCCAACTTCATCAGTGTCAAGGGCCCTGAGCTTCTCAACAAATATGTTGGTGAGTCAGAACGGGCTGTTCGCCAAGTTTTTGTTCGTGCCCGGTCGTCTATCCCGTGCGTTATATTTTTTGACGAGCTTGATGCTCTTGTACCTCGACGCGATGATACACTATCAGAAGCGTCTGCACGTGTGGTAAACACCCTACTCACCGAGCTCGACGGGCTTGGTAGTGCCAGGCAGGGAATATATGTCATCGCAGCCACCAATAGGCCTGATATCATCGACCCGGCGATGTTGCGGCCTGGTCGTCTCGAGACTCTACTTTTCGTTAATTTACCTAATGAAACTGAACGAGTCGATATCCTTCGCACCTTGGTTCGCAACTTGACCGTTGAGGTCACGCCTGAAATCGAGACACTTGTACGGTCGTGTGAGGGCTTCAGTGGAGCGGACTTGGGGTCTCTACTTCGTCGTGCGGGTTACGCGGCGATTAAAAGACGTGATACGATTAAGGCGGAGGATTTTGCCGTTGCAAAGAAAGAGATCAGGCCAAGTGTTACGGATATGAAAAAGTATGATAGGCTAAGGAGAGACTGGGGAGGTGGAACTGCTGCGCAATAGCTGATGATGGCTGTACATAGAGGTTCAAGAACGGGGATATACCCATTTAGATGCTTTTGGAATATCGTATTGGTACTTTTCATTTTAGATATGGTATCTGGAGGAAATAGAGCAGAAAGAATGTAGCACCGTGCGCCGGCCTTGAATTGACAAGTATAAAAGAACAGCTATTGAACACGCTACATCCATAACCGGCACGTTCCATCCGCCCCAGCACTAACACACCAGGCTTCCCTTGGATGCCAGTCAAGGTCCAACACTCCCAAGTCACCTGTGATTTTGTGTCCTTTTAGTACTTTCAGCGGCACAATATTAGCATTACTAAGTAAGTCGCCCGTCACGCTTCCATGGAAAATTTGCAAAGAGCCATCGTCACTCGAGTCCGCAAAAAGAGGATAGTGTGGGTGGAATTTGACTTGTCGAATAGCCTTTTTGATGATATCGAAGGGGTCTTATAGGGACGATCAGAAAGATGGAGATCATGCCAGAGCAACCGTCTGTCGTAGGAGCCCAACCGATAAAGATTATCACCGCCGGAAGTGGAGGAGGAAAGTCGGATGAAATATCGAAAGAGGAAATCCACCGGGCGCCTGGACGGAGGATCTTGACAAGGGTCTGGCGCGAGAGATCATATGCACGGATGGAGCGCTGATTGGCAACGAAGAGGATGGGCTTCGAAGGGTGGAAGTGTGCAACTTGAGGCGAGCCGCCACCTTTGAGGCGTCGACGGAAAGGGTATTGCGTAAGATGTTTCGACAATGTGTGAATGGCTATAGCGAGAGAGGCGGGGGTAGATGTGCCAGGGCAAACGGTAACAAAGTAATCTCCCCGACGATGCCAAGATAACGATTTGGCGATGTAACCGAGGGGGATCACCGCATATACACCGGAGTCTGCGAGTGCTGATGAAGGGCGAGTCCATTGCAGTGAGGATGTTTTCTTTGTGCTACTTGGGCCGGTGGCTGCGGAGGCAGCATAGCCCCAACCAGCATCCAGCGCCTCAAGACTGGCAGATTCAAGCTCCGGATTAAGGATTTCTGGGACTGCCAGGTAGATACTGTCACCGGCTGATGCTGCTAGCATGACAACTTCTTTCCCTGGTCGCCAGCGCACAACATTGACGGCATCCTCGTCGCTTATCTCTGCGCTCCAGAGTTGCCGACCCGTGAGAAGCTCCCAAACACGAATCGTACCATCGTCGCCACCAGTGGCTAGCCAAACTCCGGTTGGGTCAATTTCCAAGCTTCGAACGCGACCACGATGGCCTTTGAATAATGTAGAACATGTTGTTGGAAACGGTTTAAGCTCTTCGGGACTCGGTAGTTTGGGCAGAAGAGACTCTGGATCAATATTCAACTTGCTCCGGCGGACTCTAGGCGCCAAATACAAGTCGAGACAGCGCTCGAATTTTTCCTTAACAAACCTGTCGTATCCCGGTACCTTTCGCAAAGCACTATAATCTCTTGGAAGATATTCCTTTTCTCGATCCTCTTCATCTTGGTTCTCCCATTCTTCTTTTTCTTTCTTATCTGGCAGATACTCCGGCGGCGGATGGTAACTCTCATCGTACCCTGGCGGGGGCAATTTCGGAGCCGGAATGTTCATTGGGTGATCCGGTCGTGGAGCCTCGTTAGCCCAGAGGTCGTATGTCTGGACCCCCTCTTGGGATTCATCTGCTTCTTCCGGGGGTTTATACGGAAGGATCCTGCCCTCCCTAATTGCCTTGACGAGCTTCATCACCCGCTTCGCCTCATGCTTTGAAGGCACAAACCTTCGTTTTGGTTCTGGAGCCGCGCTCAAGGGCATAATCTCCTGTTTGCTGGTGAAATACTCAATGGTCGGCTGGTAGGGGTCATAACCATCTTGCGTAACTTCATTCATCTGGAATTTCCGCAAAAGCTCCAGCTCATCCTGAGATAGTTCTAATGGCTTCCCGGTGGAAGGGTCGGTCAATCCAGTCCAACCCTTTGGAATTTCAATGCTATCCAGGAGGGCATCCAAAGCTTGGCCCTTAGCAGGTCGCATAATTCTCTTTCCATTGATATTGTAGCCGATATGAGGGTACTGATCGTAAAAGGATAACGGGATGTCTCCGATCACATTCGCCTCCTCGTCGACTTCTGAATATTCCGAATTGTCATCGGGGTTGATCTCAGGGTAGATATAGCGGTCATTGCCATTGGCATCTTTTTCGATCCGGAAATTCGGCTCATCATCCTCTGTAAATTCATCACTTCTGTCCTCGATCCTAGAGAGATTGATTCCATTTTTTGCACTTTGGTTTGGCTCCGTATCGGACGGAATTTCATCACTGTCGATTTCATTATAGTCTTCTCCCTCATCACTGCTGAAATCAGGAATCAACTCGATTTCCGAGTCGCTCGCGTCGTCGGAGTCGTCAGAATCGTTCCTATCGAGAGCTTCGAGTTCGTATTCATTTCCAGAAACAACGCTTGGATCCTCGTCGATATCCTTAGTTATCGCCTTGCGCTTCTTCGAGCCCTTTGACCTATCCATACTGAACCAATTGGGGCTGCAACCGCTTCAGCACTGCCGTCGTCTTCATTCTCGCAATCTTCGACTTTTTTTTTGAACGTCAACGGAGTTCGGAGGATCAAAAAGCCGACGGGCATCGGATCATCATTGATGCGATGCTTAGTCAGATAGATGTATCTTAACGTCCTCATTCTATGTACTCCGTACGAGGAGTTTCAATAGAGTCATTCTGATTCCAAACCCACACCTTGATGAATGGGGCTACTACTTGGGCTCAGCTTAGGGTGGGAGCACCACTTTGGTGTACGGGTGCAATCTTTCAGAGCTACAACTGTCCCTGGGTGGCTTGGGATTCCCCTTCTAAAAGTTACATGTTTGGAATTTCAAAGCAGGGATAGATAATACTCCGCGTAACTAACTATGGCTCCGGGCCCGCAAAATATAAGATCAATCCCTGCGACCCTTCCCCCTCGGGCGACCTGTTGTGTGCGCTTCAGGTTCTCTTGAATAGTTCTATTCTCTCAGAGCTGCTGACCACTCTGGAGAGGTCCAACTTCAACTATTATTGATTTTAATATCAGTAGCACTCAGCAGGCCGCGTGGCCTAATGGTTAAGGCGTTGGTTTTCGGCACCAAAGATTTGTGCGTTCGAATCGCACCGTGGTCGTTTCATCATAGTTTTTTGCCACTGGATTTCTCTAATTATCCGTAATGTATGCAAATTCGTGTATATCTGACTTGAGATCTTTTTTTTTTTCTGCAGAAGCCAGTTCAAACAGATAGCAGCACAATTCTCTTGTGACGCCTGAACTATTAGTTGGTTAGGTTTGAAACTTGGTAATCAACGGGCTACGGCTAATAATTTCTCCAGGTTCAATACATGCGTTAGTCAGCTATCGGGCCTCAAGGTAGCTGAATGAAGCTGAGGATGACGAAGAAGACTCAATAGCGAAGAAAGAGGAGGACGAAAGCGGTGTGATGGTTGTCCTGAGTTGATGTTTGCAGTTCGCCCCGCGGTCGTTTTGACGAGTTTCTATTTCGTTATCTGAGGGACTAGGCTGCGCTTTGCTGCCCCGCTGCTACTCCGTACAATGGCTGCCAATCCCACCAGCGCTGCTGCGTCCTGGTTCAATATGGCACTGTCGCATCCAAGTTCCAAAACACATGGGGCGGGCGATGCGCCAAAACGGCACGCGGCTTGCGATGAGTGCAGTAAGTCAGTTGGATTTTGACCATGCGTCGGCGTGTTTCTGCGGCGTGCCAACACGTTTGATTCTAGGACAGCGCAAATTAAAATGCTCGGGAGAGCCGACAGGATGTAGCCGCTGTGTGCGACAGTCACTGTTTTGTCATTATTCCATCCAGAAGCAAATGGGACGGCCTCCTAAAAGAAAGCGGGTTGATGAGAGCAAACAGTCGGTATCAATCCAGACTCCGGATGAGGGTGCGATCACGGATCTGTTGCCGATTTTCGAGGGCATCCCAGACCCGGTGGCCGCGCTGGAGGCTTCTAACATGTGTCCTGCGATCTACAAGTCCTTTATGAAGGATCAATATGACTTGAAAGCCGGGCCATTTGTGACGAATGGGCCGATATTCGAGTATGAAGCCCTTCCGCCAGAGCAGATATCAGAGTGGAAGCCGCAAGATCCGGACTACTCGCAAATAAACACTTCAGTTTTGCTTCAGTCTCCAGAGTATCATGCCATAGATACCAGTTTTCCCGCGCCTTCCACTCATACAACGAACCAGTGCTCCTGTCTCTCGTACCTCTATTTATGTCTCAGTTCTATATCGACTCTGTCGTCCTTCCCGCTGTCAGTCCACTCATTAACAACATTATACAATGCAGCCCGCACCGCGAAATCCGTGATCCACTGTCAGATATGTCCCAAGGCCTTCAACACGTCAATGCAAAACCTTATGCTCTTAGGTACGCTTCTAAACGTGACCGCCGACGGATGGTTCCTTGTCTCCGGCAAAGATCCTGAGCTCCTAGGAAAAGAGTGCGTTGACCTTTCATATATTGCCTCACTGCCCACGGACCCAGAGTTACGCCAGCAACACTGGAAAAGCTGGTTACGGGGCGTCGTCAAACATGCTGTGATTGGAAGCAGTGTGCCGCCGATTGTCCACGCTGCCCAGACTCAATGCCTTGAAACGCCGAGCCTGCTCTCTTTGATTGAAGACCTGGAGGAGAGGCAGCGAAAACGGCATGAGGCGCTTGCGGCAGATGCAATGGCTGCGGGCGGTCAGCCTCAGTCTGGGCATGGTGATGAACAGGATTATTTTTGTATGAGGGTTGTGGGGAGCGCAAGGCTGGTTATCGCACGGTTTAATTTTGATGAGGAATAATTGGCATCGACTTATGATTTATAGAAGGCTGGAATGGGGGAAAATTCGTCAAAAATGAAACTAGTTTTCAATTTCCATGCATATGTGACAATCGTCCAAGTCCAAGCACCTTATCAAAGACTGAGGAATCATCGCTATGAACGCCCGCGGCTCCATCCCATGAACGGTTGAAAAGCTGTTATACATAAAGAAAAATGCAAGGGACAAAGTTTCTAAGGATGGGTAAGCCAATGGATCGCAAGACCGAAATATTTATTCGTCATCTTCGGACTCCACGACGTATCTATTCTTCTTCCTTGCAGGAGGCGAGCCGGCCTTGGCTCCTTCAGTCTCGACGGCGGCCGCAGTTTCATCCTCGTCCAGGGCTCGTTTCGGCGACTTGTCCTTGTCGCGAGTGGTCATTTTAGATGGAGCGACAATCTCGTCATCGGTCTCGCCCTCAGCTTCAAGGTTATCATCTTCGTCAAGGATTTCTTCCTCGTCTCCCTCATCCTCTTCGATCTCGACCTCCTCGTCGCTGCGAACTAGGAAACCATCATCCTCATCATATTCGTCTTCACGAGTCCGGCCTCTACGACCGTACTCATCCTCGTCATCCGAATAAATCTCTCCGCGACGGTTGGTCCTACGCTTGGGTTTCTTGCCACCACGTCCGCGTGCGGCGAGCGTATCATCGCCTTCCAAGCCGGCGATTGTGAGACCAGCTCCTCCAGTTCTCCCGGGCAGACCAACGCGCCTCCCGCGATCCAGATCGCGATCTGCAGCAAGTTGTCGTCTTCGGGCTTCGCGGAGTTTCTCGCGCTCGGCTTGCTCTGCCTGCTTCTTGGCGAGTTCCGGGTCAACTTTGACGTCGATCATAGCCACCGTACCGTCTGGATTCTTTCCGCTGGTTCTAGTCGCAGCCGCTAGAGATTCTTGTAGTCTTTGAACAGCATCATCTGTCTCGATAGTGGTGGGAAGAATGGCAAGTTGTCCAGTGAGATGCGAAGTAAGACGGATAACGGATGAGGCTTCTGCAGCAGCCCCCAAGTAGACATGAGAGTCCAGTTCTGAGTCGTAATCATTAAGCTTCGTAGATGTATTTGATCGTGCAAGTGGCTTTAGAGACATCCGGTATTGCTCTGTGGGGTTTGAGGCGAGTTGAAGTGTCAAGGAACCGTCTGACCAACGAATGATCCGTGCATTGGACTGGATGGTCTCCCCATCCTTGGGGTCATAACGCCAGCAAAGAGAAGTCGAAGCTGATGAAAACGGCGGTGCAACATATGTCTCCGGATTGAAATCTTCGGATTCGATAGAGAGGAAATTAGGCATGTTTAGGGTGTAGATCTAGAAGCAATCCACAAGTTAGCGAGCGAGTCCACAAAATTGCACGCGAGTGGGAGAACCAACCTGCCCATCTGTAGACTCTGGCTCCGCAGTGCGACCTAAGCTGAGGTCCATAATATTGAGCATTTCAGCACCTTCGTCCTCCATCGACCCACGACGATCCCAACGGTCCTGATCGTCTCCAGAGTCCAATTCCTCATCGTCGAGATTGCGGCGACGATGACTGCGAGAGGATTAGTGCACACGATTCGATTTGCGTGGACTGGATGCTACACACTCGTTTTCATCCTCTCCTCCTTCAGAGCCAGAGCCGAAGAGATCGGCATCGTCGTTGTCCAAATCAGCTTTGTCCTCCTCTAGCGACGGTGGAGTGTTGTCGCCCGGCAAAGACTCGTTCTCAATAGTGTCTCTGACATCGTCACCGCTGTCCTTGGACAGATGTTGCGGGCTATTGCCGCCTGAAGACATTGTCTATTCTGAAATCCGAGCTCTTGGGCGATTAGGGGAGATTGGGCGTGAAATTGGGTGAAGAAGAGAGGTGCAAGTGAACAGACGCAGCGAGGAAGCAAAGGCAAATTCACAGTCCATGCGCCGAGTAAAGCAGAAGCAATTCTCCTTCAAGCTCTGCTCCCGCTGTTCAATGTTCAATCGCGCATTGATAAACCGCCTGCACGCTTCTTCCCGCACCGCCAGCCACGCTAATCCAGAATGCTCCTAGCGCAGACACCGGCGATGGTTGATCCGTGCCGGCGTTTACTTCCCCTGTGAGCTGGCTGGCCCTCCACTCAACCCTCGCTTCCCCATGGACCATCTTCTGGCATTCACTCGCTTTCTTCCATCTGTCTATTTTGCTGTTGCTGGAGGCTGAGCAGGCCCGGAGTGTCGTCTCGCTCCATCTTGCAGTCCCGTAGTGGCTTTGATCTCGACCATGGCGACGTTCTTCCAGAGCGTGTATGTTGTCCCTCACTGTCCCTCCTCTAATTGTTGCTATTGTTATTTTGGGCATCCTTATCTGAAAATCTTCCCCCGATGAAATGGGTCCTTTTCCCTATTCTTTCGTGTCTCCTCGTCCTTTTCATCTGCTCCTGATTTCTGCTGAAACCGCTAATCTCCCCCGTTTAGCCGTCAGGGATTCGGTAGGGGTGGGAACAAGAATAACAACAACAACAATAACAATAACAATCCCCCCAAAAGTGGTTCAGGCCACTCAAATCAACAGCCGGCTGCGTATGCCTCGAATCAGGCCTCGATGACGAACTCTTCGTCGGGCTCCCCGCTCGGCGCGGACAGCACTTCGAATGAGCGCCAAACTGTCAAATACTTCTTCCAAGAGAAATACGCGCCGCTCAATGTTAAGGGCAATTTCTTGACTCTTTGTGCTTGCCCAAAGAATGTCGAGCTCGGGGAGTGGCTGGCTCATCAGAGTATGTCCCCGCCAGCAAGCCTTATCCCCACCAATACTCTAACGTGAAGAAAGTCGTGGAACAGAACCGCCTTCTCCATGGCATGCTGCAAGTGGTTCAGGAGGTTAACATCCATACCGGACTTCCGATATGTAACGAGCTGACTTGCCCAACCATGTCTGCTGGGAAGTATGTCGCCCCGTCAGCCGTGATACTGGTGGATCCTATACTCACCTTGCTTGCTTTGATAGCCTCACATATACCTGGCTTGTAGACGGGAAAGCAGCTAGAATATCGGCCCCCAAATTCATCAACCGCGTTGAAAAATGGATTGTGAGCAAGATACACGACCCTGTCATGTTTCCCACCGAACAAGTGTCCGCCGCTCCTATCACCTTTGCCCTTGCCGAGTCCGCCAATGCACCTGGCGGCTTGTCTGGTCCTCCTCCCGCCAATCCGCCAATCTCAAATAACGGTACCAGTCCTACTGGAGCGGCTGGCCAAGATTGGATCGGAAAATCCAGCGGGTTTCCACCAACTTTCTACAAGGACTGCCAGGGTATCATGAAACAAATGTTTCGCTGTTACGCGCATTTATATCACGCCCATTGGGAGAATCCGTTCTGGCATATCAACAAACATGAGGTTTTGAATATGTGCTTCGTCCATTTCGTGACGGTTGCAAAATACTACAAGCTAGTCGCCGATAAAGAGATGGAGCCCATGGAGCCGTTGATTAATATTTATATCACGCAAGAGAAGATTCCGCCGGAGGCTCTTGCGGGTCACTGGGCGCAACAGCCCGCTCCTTCGTCGACTACTTCTCAAGGATAAGCATGCCACGAATTGATTACTTACGATGCGACGGGCGTTTCGTCTTTGCAGGTTTCTTCATGACTACCAACTGAATGATCTGTCTTTGCTATGTTTTGTTCCTGGGCGTTATAGCGCTTAGTTGAATCAGGGTCTACAAAAAAAGACGCTCCAGTGGATGAAGGTCACGCATGCATTTAATTACGGTGTTGTTCTGTCACTGTGGGCAAATGGGCCATGCTCCATGGTATTTACTTGATTTCTCTGTCCATCTCCATGCTGCTATGTCAACTACAGCCACGAAATAGTTTATCTTCTAGCTATAGGGATATCCTATAGAAATGATACACAATGCGCTAGTCTCGGGCCGCTTCCCCGCATTCGTTTCGAAGTCCTTGGGGTATCTTCACTTCATCTAATGAGCTACGGCCGTTCCTTGAGATTCTTATGGATCATATCCTCTTCATCGGTATGAGGTTGATACAGCAGTCGTAGACAATGAAGCTTTAAACACGGCGCGCAAAGCCCCGGCTTCTTTAGCATCGCAACCATATCGACGCGAAACCGCCTGCTCCTTCACAGAGCGCACGACAAGTTTATTCGGTTCTTATATATCCGCCACCATCTTAACAAGGCCCAGTAGCTCAGAGATATATCCCTTCCGGTTCATCATCCCCTTGCCGCTCCCTTTCTTCTGTGGGCGTTGCTGTCGAGCGTTGACGCAGCGTCCCGTTTCGCTCAGTCGGTTGATCCGCAGCCTGACCAGATACCAACGATTCACCGCTCCCCTGAATAGCCGGAGAACCAGCAGTAGGCTCCGCATCCTCAGCAGCAGCACTAATCTCCATATCATTCGTTTCCCCTCGCGGATCTGTGCCGTTGAGCTCAATCCACGACTGACCCCGCGCTTCCACCTCAGCCTTGACAAGGTCGACGCGGCTCAACATCCGTTTGATAACCTCTTCATTCTCGCCCACGGCCTCTTCGCAGACTGCGTCGCCGCCTGGAGTGGAGTCGAGGAACTGTTTCAGCTCGGCGTTGGACCGTTCGAGGTGGGAGATGGAGTTGCGGAGTTCGGAGACTTTGGCGTATAGAGAGGGGATGGTGAGGTCCTTGAGGGCGGCGGCGAATGCGGTGGGGGTAATGGGGAGGGATTCGGAGGACATTTTTGGCAATTAAATTCTTATGATGAGAATATTGAAAGAAAGAAGAAAGAATAGTGAGAAAGATTCTTTTATATTCTTAAACTATTAATAAAGTGAGGTTGTGATTCTGATGATTTGATTCAAGTAGCTGGGGGCAATCTGAGGGTTTGGACCGCGCGACCAAGAAGTCAAGTTTATGGGGAATCCATTCAGATTGAAAGCAGTGTACTTTATTAGTTAGTTAAGTTACAGAATTCTTGAAGCCGCAGGGAAAACAGGCCACTCAAGTCTAAATAGGATAGTTGCAGGCTATCAAAAATTTGACACTGCACTTCTACACTACATTTTCAGCTCATTCTGTCTCCTATCTTGGCTATGCTGAGCGTCGCCGAAGCAAGGAGCTTCAAATAAGCTAGATGAGATTGGCCATAGTCTTGAACGTCTCCATAAACCTGGCACGGATGAATTTGCAACTTCCGGCCATATGGCCGGGCTTTCCACAATTAAAACATAGTCCTTTGAGTGTCCATCCCTCATGTTACATAGTGAAAAGTATGGTATTCCTCGGATGGTCTGGAGACCAGGAACTGTATAACTAGCTAAGGTATGCTGACTAATATGCATGGAAACTATATGTGTCACAAGTGCTGTGGGTCAAAGAGTTGCTGTCCTCAGTGATCAATTGTTCGGCTTGGCTGCTCTTTGTTGTTGGTGTTTATGTTTCTTGTGTCTTTTACTCGATGCATATGATCTTGGCCCCTTTAAAGTTCTGCGACAGGTTGCACATGCCATGATACCACAATCCGGACATTTGAACGCAAAACGCCGCGTGGCTATTGAACAGTGGCTACAAACAGAGCCCTGGTCAATTTTATCCCACCAAGATCGATGGGCGCATGGTCCCTTCGTATGCTCCGTATCCCCACTCGCCATCCGAGCCCATTTCTTTGCATCTCTTTCCATTCTAGCTCTTGCTTCACGTTCTCGGGCTTCTTTTTCATTCCGAATTTCTTCATCCCTTGCTTGTCGAGCTCGCTCTTCTTGCTCAACCTTCTTTCTCATTTCTGCCATCCTAGACCTGGCCTCTCGGTAAACACGCTCTTGATGTGCCTTCCTCCTGGCTTCTTCCTCCTCGAGCCTCAGCTTCCGGATATCTTGCTCAACCGACAAAATCGTATCTTTCGCACTTTGAAGGGAAGTTTCAACTGTTCGGATACCAGCCTTCTCGCGCTCCAACATATTTTCTTTGACAGTCCGTGCTGCTATTCGTTGAAGTCGTTCAAGGTCTCGCTGCCTTTCTATGTCGTCGGTCTCGGTGGCCCCTCCAAAAAGAATTGAAGTGAAGAAACCCCACCATGTCCCTTTTCCAGCTTGCTCCCTAGTCTTTATATCTGCTTGTAGACAAGCTATTTCGGATTGCAGTTTGTTCAACGCTGCCTTCCGTCGGCGCATGTCGTCCTCCAGCCTGGTTCGCTGGGCGTTAAGATGCCGAAGCCGCGTTTCGAGCTCTGCACCTGGTTGTTTCTCATGCCCCGAACCCTGTTCGTTTGGACCGCTCCTTCTTGTGGAGTTGGTTGCAGGCGGTGCCCCGCTGCCAAATTTAGCGCGGTACTGAGCATCGTACAACTTGCGTTGAATGGGATCGATTAAGGTTGAATAAGCTTCATGAAGCTAAAGAAATTGCAAGTTAGACGAGCACTAGAACGTGGAAGTGATACAGAACTAGGGTACCAGCTGAAATTTGGCTGTTGCATCTGGATTACTGTTCTTATCAGGGTGCGTAACCATGGCTATGGTCCTGTAACTTGACTTTATCTTGTTAAGATCTGCCGTTTGTGGGACTTCAAGGACCGCATAGTAATCATGGCTGGCATTGTGGGAAGGCATGGCAGCAGTGGGGCTTAATTGTGTGAAAGTGGAGGCTCTGCGCGCTAAGCAAGGCTGTTGAAAGTAGCCTTGACGGGTCAAAACCTTCGCTCAGAGAAGGGCCAAGCAGTGTGTGGGTCACGTGATATAGGACCTGCCTATCAGTGTTCTGAGAGGTAGAAAAACAGAGAGCGTCTAAGCCTTGGTTCCCTTGGCTCTACATACGGAAGGCTGCAATTAATACCGGGCTGCGCCATGTTGTATCCTGGTGTTTCTGGAGCGTCGCGGGAGCCCTGCTGCTCGAGCAGAATGGCTAGAACAAGTAATTGATGAGTACTTGCATTAGCTCTTAGTACTCCGGGTTCGAGAACAGTTTCAAAGTGATTGTATCGGACGTATAGTGGATACATTGAGTTAAGACCATGTTCCGATGTACCGGATGGTCAGATACTTTTCATTCATTGATTTGTCAGCTCTTACTTATCTTTCTTCTTAGTGTTTAACACACAAATCTGATAGCTTAGGTAATTTAGAAATACCTATATATAGCTGGTCTTAACACCAGTACATAGATCAATCAAACAAGTTCTGTTTTATTTCAGGCATCTCTACATTTGACTAGGATTCTGCATCTTGCTTCACTTATAGTATTTGTCTGATAGTTATGAGCTCAGAAGCTTATAGATTTGCTTGTTATATTATCTGAATGTTAGAGTCTGGTGCAGAGTGGTAAAGAAGCATCAGACTTGAGAACATGTGATCAGATTCTTCAGACAACTGCCATTAGTAGAGCAAGAGAGTATATATTGCACAATCACTCCAGACCCCTCTTTTCTTCATCATATTTAGTATTTTTAAATTAGATTTATCTAGTATGACAGTTTATTAGATTCTTCTTCTTCTATTCTTGCATCTAGTCTGATATTATATT